GGTCCTTTTCGAAGTGGCGCCAGGGTGTTCACACCTACAGGATGAGCGGGCTGAGTACCTCGGCGGCCGATTTAGGGTTTGGGGCTTAGGGCTTGAGGTTTAGGGTTTAGGGTTTAGGGTTTTAGGTTTAGGGTGTAGGGTTTCGGGTTTGGGGTTTAGGGTTTAGGGTTGAGGGTTTGGGGTTTAGGGTTTAGGGTTCTTGGTCTCGACTATGCAGCGAGAATGAGAGATGTATGGACATTGACCTTGACGATTAAAGTGAACAGCTTTCAAATCGCATGTTCCGTTCTAAAGAAGACACGTGGACATTGGTGGAATGCCGTTAAGCACCCTGAACCCGGAACCTTAAATCGCATGCCTCATCTTAAGCCGGCATGAAGCCGATCCCTCAACCCTAAATCCTAAACCCGCGCCCAACCCCTCAGCTTCAGAGCCTTAAACCCTCAAACGAAGGTCGCCTCCACAGCCGATTTACCGGAGTTTCCGCCCTGAGCTCTGTCTGTGGCTTGAGGGTTCCGGAGTCGCGTGGGATGATTCAGAGCCGCTGGACATAAGATCGGCAGGTTTGCGTGGGCTCCTTTGTAGGTACTCGTATAGCAGCACACGAGACCCAGTCCACGTCTTCAGGTTTCTGTGCCACAAAGCCTCCAGCCTCTAGCATAAGACATATTCCCTGTCAAGACTTGCCTAAGACGAAAGATGGCACCTTGCTGGGAGGCCTGCAACCGCAAGTAAAGATGTGTGTGGGCCTAGGGACCCCTTCAGGGTGTAACATCAAACCTGTAGATAATCTTCATGAAGGGCCCCAGACGAAGAAGTTTTTCGGGACGTGTGACCATACCTGGCATAGGATCTCTTGTCCCCTAGGTCCCGTAGCAGTAAAACTCAGAACGCATCGTGGCAATTCACCTCGCAGCTATGGAAAGCTCACATGCACTCAGCTACCCTCGGGCGAACTCCGTTGCCAACTGAGCCTTAACGTCGCAACCTGAAGCCCCGCGCCCTTACCATCCCTGACCAGTTGGGTAGCTGACTTTCTCTAAGTATGTGCGATCTGGAACCCGCATCCATAGATAGAAAGCCTGTAAGCCCCAAACCGTAGCTAACCAGTAAACAGGAGACGAGCTTCTAGGGCTGTAATGTACCCTTGAGGGTCCAGGAATCCAGGAAATTCAGACCTCACTCCAATCATATCCTACGGCTCTACCATCCCAAGCCAAAGCACCTCATGAAATCTACGTTGGACCTGGAAGGACACGCATCTAAAATAGGGGCCTTAATAATTAGAATAGGGTTTGGGGTGCATTATACTATATAAACCCTAAACCCTAAACCCTAAACCCTAAACCCTATTATAGTTATAACTATAATAGGGAACCCCAAGACCCAGTTCGAAGTTATTAAGGCCCCTACAGTAGAACTTCCGACAGCGTCCCTGGGTCAAGGCCTCTGCCAGTTCGGCGCTGTTGGTTTAGGGTTTAGGGTTTAGGGTTTAGGGTTTTAGGGTTTAGGGTTTAGGGTTTAGGGTTTAGGGTTTAGGTCATCTTCCTCTGCTCCAGCTGCGCCAAAGCCGATGGAGGAGAGAGTCGTTTGGCGACTTGTGGGGTGTCGTTTTAGGGTTTAGGGTTTAGGGTTTAGGGTTGCTTACATGACTAGGTCTAGGTAGGCTTTTGGGATGTTTCGTATCTTTTCCCTTCTTAGGTTTCAGAGGACCCTATTTACGAAGATTTTCCGCCGGCTTTGAAGGGCCAAGCTAGACTAAGGATCCCGCTATTAGGATCTGTCTCGGGATTTCCACTTTCGGAATTAGGGTCTTGGGGGGGCGGGGTAGTCCTCCGGTTCGGGCTCTAGAGTTTAGGTCTACCGGTTTTGGGGTATAACAGCTTCCCTGGTGAAGGGTGTAGGGCTAGGGGTGTGACTTGGCGAGAAAGGGAAGGGGTACATGTCACTCGGAGACATCTGAATGGCATCAACTTTTCGGCCGGTTTAGGGTATATATATATATATATATACGGTATAGGGTATGTCTATAAGGGTCGGGGTACCGGCATGGTCCGTGCTTGTACGGAAAGAATGGGCTTGGAAGAGTCTTCGCCGAAGAGTATGGGAACGGCCTGTGTAACTAACACTTTCCCGATTGCTATGATGGAGTAGTTCAATAAACAGAATTTGCACGAGCTACGTAAGACTTGGTCCAGCAAAGTCTTTAAAGGCTTAAGTCCTCAGCCCCAAAGCCGAATCGATTGGTTCGTGAGGCCAATAGCGGCCTGTTGCTTCAGACCTTCCGAGCTTTTCTCGAAAAGTGACATCGCAACAGCAAGTCTGACGACATCCCTAAACCCTATAGGCCCTACGGTCAGTGCCGCAGCATCTAAGAGCTGTTCGTGGGGCACCATCGTCCTTGAGTGAACCTGGCAGGACGCCATAACTGGTGTGTGGAACTATGGTGTTGCGTAATATGGGGGGCCTCAATAATTTCTATAGTCTTTCGAGGGGTTCCTTATCGATAGTTAAGGTATGATATACCCCAAAACCCTGGTTCCTCATTACAGCCTACATTAGCGACCAGCCAGGCAGATTGCAGATTACCGTAGCCGTAGATCCGTTCGTCACCGTCAGCAGATCTGCTCGAAGTCTCCGACAAGCCCTGAACCCTAAACCCTTATGATCAAAAGGGCCCTCAAAAAAAAAGGTTTAGGTTTTAACCCTTGGGCCCTAAACCATTAAACCCCAAGCCCTGAACCCTTTCTATCCCAAACTTTTCCGAGCAGTTTGGGGAGGGGCATTGGCATCACTGCGCCAGGAAGAACCAGATCAGCCTGCCGTGATCTGTGATCAAGGCGATTAAGGGTAATTTGGGCTTACGGATTTAGGATTTTAGGTTTTTTTGTAGGATCCTGGAGGTTGGTTTGGGGTTTATAAGGCTTACGGTTTAGGGTTGAGGCTTCGTGCTTGTCCACGTGGGATTGAAAACAGGAATGGTGCACGAGGAGACTGACTTCTCGCTTATCGCGGGTGGGTATCAGAGGATACTTCGCCTATAATGTGCTTTAACAACTGCTGTGTTCGGTTGTACTCTGCCAGACGAGATGTTTAAGTGGTTTTTGCAAGCTCCCACAAAGCCCAACATAGTGGGAACTCACCCCATTCCAGAGAACAGCCCCCTTCATACACCAGCCGCAGCAGGTTCGATGCCACTGAAGTTGCAATACGTGTGTGCCTGCGTGTTGAAGACAGTGACCCTAAGGGTCCAAGTACCTAATAATCATATACTCTCCCAAATATTAACCTAGATAACTACTATCCGCAACCAAAGTACCTGATTATTGAGTCCTTTGGACCCTTAGGGTGATGTCTTAAACCCGAAGCGACTTCCCGAAGTCTTGATACTCAGCGAGTTGACCATGAAAAATCTTCCTGCCACCTGGGATGGACACCTAAGCCTAAACCCGATGCCTTTTCTATAGGGGCCTTAATAGTTAGAATAGGGTTTGGGGGTCTATCATACTATAGTCGGAATAAGGAGCCCCCAAAACCCTAAACCCCAAAACCCAATTCTAACTACTAAGAGCCTTACATTAAACCCCGGACTCCCAACAAGGACAATCTTAAGAGTCGCGGGATTTGGTCGTAAGTCCCCTACAGGCCAAAAGTCCCCAGAACCAGGGTTTAGGGGTTTAGGGGTGAGGGTTTAGGGGTGAGGGTTTTAGGGGTGAGGGGTTTAGGGGTTTAGGGTTTAGGGTACAAGTCTACAGCGGGTGCTCTGACCCGAAATAGCGGGAACCTAAACCCTAAACCCTCACTACCCTAAACCCGAAGCCCTAAACCCTAAACCTTTGACAGTTCGTTTCTTCTGGCTCGAGGTTGCGCTGTAGTCCTCCAGCACGCAACCCCAAAGCCTCAGATCAGCTGACTATATGACGATAGAGGTTTAGGATTTGGGGGTTTAGGGTTTTGAGATAGACCCCAGAAAAAAAGCCCTGAACTCTGCATCGCGCTTATAGCCTCAAACCCTGAACCCCTAAACCTCTTAGCCCATCCTTGTTCCGGTGTCAGCGCGGAGGCAGTGGGGAGAGCGGGCGTCGTGACTTTCGGGCTCTTCTCTCAGGCTTGCAGCTTCGGAGGGCTTCGGTGTCAGGGATTTAGGGATTAGGGTTTAATTAGGGGTTTGGGGATTTAGGGATGTAGGGTTTGGGGATTTAGAGATTAGGGTTCAGGGATTCAGGGTTTAGGGATTTAGGGTTCAGGGATTTAGGGATTTAGGGATTTAGTTTAGAGGATTTAGGGTGTTGTTTCGGGGTTTAAGTAGTTCGGGATAAGGGGCTTTTGTGCCTTTACGGGTCGAAGCATTTCTGGTTATAGGGTTCCAGAACTGACAGAACGATGGGTTGCGGAAGGCGATGGGTGTAAAGTTGAGGCCTAGGGGCCTTGGGGACCCTAAGGGTCCAAGTACCTAATAATCAGGGTTTAGGGTTTAGGGTTTAGGGTTTAGGATTTAGGGTTTAGGGTTTAGGGGTATATACTCTCCCAAATATTAACCTAGATAACTACTATCCGCAACCAAAGTACCTGATTATTGAGTCCTTTGGACCCTTAGGGGGACATCCTTCTGGGTTTGGTGGGTTGTACGGTTTAGGGTGTAAGGTTTAGGGTTTAGGGTTTAGGGTTTAGGGTTTAGGGTTAAGGTTGAGGGTTCAGGGTTTGAGCTTGGAACTTGGATCCCGTAATCCCTGTAAGCTTTGGGGTGAGTCTAGGGGCCGTAATAATTACCTACACTATTCTTGCGGGTTCCTTATTATAGTTACAGTAGAATATGCTCCAAAACCCTATTCTAATTATTGAGGCCCCTGCATTCGGGCTTTTGGGTCCTTGGGGGGTTTCGGACTTGTCATGCCCTGCTGAGGGCTGTTTGTTTCCTGGCAGACTAAGGGGTTGGGGGACTTCGGTTCGGGCTCTATTCCTTGAAGCTTCGCGGGTTTTAGGGCCAAGTTTAAGGCTAAGGAATGAATGGCGATTGGAGGCTAATGAGAGATGGGTAGTTGTGTAAATTAGGTTCCCTTTTAGGGTCCTTTTTGTAAGGGTGCCGTACTATATTGGGGGCCTAAAAAGGTACCCTAATTTGGAGAATTACCCATATTCGTAACTACAACAAAGCCATAGCAATGCATAAGACATAATACGAAGAATAGCAATAAGCTTCCCAAACATACAGGCGTAAAGCTCCATGTGCCTGTATAGGCATATAATTATGTAGGCCTTTAAGGAAGGCGAAGGCCTAAGTATAAACTACATAGGTACATGAAGCCTCAGGTTCATAAGAAAAGTCTAGAGCTTGATGAGTGTCGAGATGTCGGAGCTAGGCATTGGGGGTCTAGGGTTTAGGGTTTTTGGGACAGCAGATGACGGCAGGAAACCCTAATGCCCTAAACTGATCATACCAGAGTGTGTTGTCTTTACTTCCAGTTACTTCCAATACTAGTATGTTCTTTTCCGGTGCGGTATGCTGATGTGCACGCTCCTCGAGGAGTAAAGGCCATTGCACGCAAAAAGCAGAGGTGCTTGAGCAAGCCTAGAATATGGGTCGGGAAAATTCATACTGCTATTTCCTTACAGCCCCTTCTAATACTAGAGTATATGCCAGAATCCCTTTCCAGCTATTAGGGCCCCTCAGGATGTGAGGCTCAGTGCTTTAATCTAAACGTGGCCATACCCATAGGCTCCATTGTGGTTCTAGTATTTGTGTTCTATATTTAGGATCATATAAGGCAACCCTCAAAAGGAACTACAATGGAGCCTATGGGTACGCCACTAAACTCTGAACCGTCTCGTTCCACACCGAATGCTGCTGTGTGAGCCACCCCACAGCCGATGCTTCTGCCGCTTTTAACTCTAAATCCTAACCCCTTGAGCCCCAAACCCTAAGCCCTAGACCCTTCAACCTACATGCAGCGAAAAACCAGGCAAGCTACCTCCCTATCGCCTTGGAAGCGTTCATCCCCTAACAATTTCTTTAAAAGGTACTTTGAGGATATACTCTGGCCCTATCAAGTACCCATAAAGGGGGGCTGCTTTAAGATCAAGCCAAACACGAGATGAGTAATATAGGGGCCTAAATCATTACCCATACTTTTTGGGGCTTCCTTGTTATAAGTCTATTATAAAAGGGCCCGAAACCCTATTCTTTTTATTTAGGCCCCTATACTAAATCCTTAAATAGTAAAACCCTTATAGCAAAACCTTAAAGGAACTCCTTTTAAAGGAGCCCTAGTCTAATTATTTGGGCTCCTACTTTACCTGGAGCCTCTACTTCGAGGTCCAGGAGACTTAGTAATTAGGTTATAAGTAGAGTTATAAGTACCCCTAATTAGAGTTACCCCAATTATAACCATACTTATAATCATAACCGACTTACTAAGTCCCCTGGGCCCTAAACCCTAAACCCCTAAACCCTAAACCCTAAACCCCTAAACCCTAAACCCTTAAACCCTTAAACTTTGATCCTTCAAGTAGGGATGGCAAGCTCTTGGAATGAAGGCCTCCTCCACCGCAAGGACGCGCTTTTGTCGAAGCTGTCACTTCGAGGATGGCGGCTTGAGCTGAACATTTTTCGGGGGGTTCCTTCACATACCTCGTGCAGGGGCCTAAATACTTACCCATAGTACGTATTTTGGGGTTCCTTATTATAGTTATAGTATACTGGGCCCCAAAACCCTCTTCTGATTAATTAGGCTCCTCTTTTGCGGTATCAGGTACGCCAACTTTAGACGTATGACGCCCATGGCTTGTGGAGTTTGGTGGGCTGTGAGGTTTCGGTAGTTTTGTAACCTAGGCTTTGGGCTGTTAGTCCTAGACCCTTGAATCCCACACTTAAAACCCCCAACACCTTCTATATCGAGTCCCTAAAAGCCCTAAAGCCTGAGCTTCAGAGATCGTCAACCCTAAATTCAACCGTACATGCGTTTAACCCAAAATTTCTGATTCACAGAACCTCAAATCGATGAACATCTATAAACCCCGTAACTCAACGTTTCCGATTTACAGAAGACTCAAGCTGCGACACCGCGAAGTGCTCCGCCCTTCTTAGGAAGGCCGTCGTCCGACGCGTGGAAGGAGATCTTGAGCAGGAAGAGTGCCTCGGCCCCTAAAAAGGAGTTTAGGGAAGTCTTAGTGGCTGAGTAGGTAACCTTTGACCTTTTGGGGCTCTTATGATCCTACTATAATTCAAAAGGTTAACCTTTTTTGGGCTAGGGTACTCAGCCCCTGAGAAGTAGGGTTTATAGGGTTTATAAGCATAAACCTATTACGAGGATGGCTTAGGGTTTTGGGTAAAGGATCTCGTAACCTGCTTGGGGTGCGGCTGTTTAGGTTTATCTGGGGTAGGCTCATCCTAATTCTTGCTTATGTGCTTTTCTTGGGGGTCCCTAAAGATCGCCTTGGCCAATGCTGCGGCGTTGGACACACACACACACACACACACACACCTGTGAAAGTTGGGGTTTGGTGATGTTTAAGTTTGCTTTTTGTGATGAGCCCGAAGATAAAAGGATGGATCTAGTGGTTGAGGCAAAGAATCCTAACACAGCCTAACAGTAATGCTGCAGTTTATTAGAGTTTTGTTTGGAGCATGAGGCTTAAGGCTTAGGTGTAAGGTTTAGAGTTTAACTCTAAACCCTATAACCTGTGCTAGCTTCCCTTTCCAACGACCGACTCGACCGCTTTGGGGGCATTAGAGGTCCAAGAATCTTTAGGCCTTTGCTAAGAAGCAGCTACATCTCAGAAGGGTGAAACCTAAAACCCTTAAAGTCTATCAGGAAGCTCCTGGAGGAAGCTTCAGGGACCTTGCCCGTTTAGGGTTTAGGGTTTAGGGTTTAGGGTTGTGCGGGTTGCAGTCACTGCAGTCAAGCATCACCTAGGCCCAGTCCCACCCTGAGGGTGGCAACTTGGGGTGAACCCCTAAGTCCCTTCAAACCCTATAAATCCTAAACCCCAAAACCCTAGAACTAAAAACCCCAAAGCCAAAGAGCAAACCCCATAAACCGGAACTCAAGCCGAACCTCGACCCACCGAAGCCCAAAATCCAAAAAGCCCAGCCCCACCCACCGAAATCCGAGTACCCAAGACTCTGTAATGTAAACCCAGCACCCTGTAAACCCTTGTTTCAACCTTCAGGTGGCGTGCGGCCATGGAATCCTCAGCGGGCCGGCTGTGTGTCCGACACACATCCGAAATTATGGGCCTTAGCAACACCCCCGCGCTGCGAAATAATTAGAACAGCGTTTTGGAGTGTACTGCAGATAGAAACCTTAAGAAGTCACACTCGTACTTGCTAGGCTTCCACATATGATCTTTCGCGAAGTTCATAACATTGCTTTGTTAAGGCTCATCAAGGGTTGAGTTCCTATGTTGGGGCCTCTTAGCTGTTTTGTTTTATTCCGTTTTGTCAAGCAAGGTTCTTACCGTTTTGTTGTTCTATAAAGGGTTTTATGAGGTCTCAACTTTTTCCAGAAGGAGGTGATCTAGAAGACTTCGCGATTTTGATATTGCCTTGAGGGTATAATATAGCCTGACTCTCTGTAGGCTTGTACTACCACTAGTTCAGCATGCCCCTTCAACATGGCTCCCTTAAATTGGGGAGCCCAGCTACCCCTGAACTCTTAAATCCTAAACCAGAAACCATAAACCCTAAACCCTTAAATTGCGGAGCCCAGCTACCCCAAAACCCCTAAACCCTAAACCCTTGAATTGCGGAGCCCAGCTACCCAAAAACTCCTAAACCCCAAACCCTGAACCCTTAAATCGGGAAGCCCAGCTCCGTTCCGGGTCCATCCTGGATTGAGAGGTCGAAGAAGTGCTCCCCACCTGTCTGATACTTTCATTCGGGCGGTAAGGTAACTCATATATGGGCCTTAATGGCTGTGTATAATAAGGAACCCCTGAAAATAGTATTGGTAATTCTTTAGGCTTCTATATTAGGGGTTTGGGTTTGGGGGGGGTGTAGATATTACACGTGTAA